CAAATTCAAAAGATCTTAAAAAAACAAAGCAAGGAAAACTAAATGTCAATTATTAAAAATAAATGTTAGTTATTAAAGATAACGCCCAAATTTGTCTTAATCTTATAGTATTTTTTTCACATTTCTTACGTTTTTTAAAAATAAATTTTATGGCTTTTAGCTTCGATAAGATTGCTTACACTTTTCCAATTTGAGTAGAACAGACATTTTGCAAAGACGGACGTAATTTGTGTTCTTTTTTACTGCGCAATGTCCAATTTCCACTTAAAAATCCAGTCTTTAACTTGCCACCACTGAAATTCAATGAATTTTCTCATTTTGATCGCACTAATTGTTTTGAAAATTGTTGAAATTCCTAAAAATTAGCAAAAATACTTGAAAAGTTTGACTAACTAAAATTTAATTCTGATTCCCAAATCAAGCTTTTATTATATTCAACATTAATACTGTAAGTAAATTATATTAAAAATCAAAAATGGCTTCAAAAATGTATTATATTAGAGGCTTGTGTTCGAGGAAAAAAATATCTATGACTACTTTATATTACAAGAATGAACCTTTTGCGCAAAAATTTGGTGAATTTATCAAAGATGTGAATAAAAATTCGGATATTGAGATTATTATTGCTATGTTTAAAAGCTTTTGTGCTGTGAGATTTAAAGCCAAGAAAACAACTTATTAAATCAGCTGCTCAAATTTTTCAATTTTTCACTTGCTTCGCCATCATTTATAAAATATTCAGATATTTTTTAAACTTTTCAAATTTAAGGACTCGTTAAACTTTATTGCTAATCAAATTTAGTTCTTAGGTCTTAGCAGGAAAAAACTGCTAGAATGAGTAAGATTAAAGTATTCGGGAAAAATAAGCATACATTTTGTAGGAAGTTTCTGGTTGATGAGAAGAGCTTGGTTCTGGATCACAAACATGTGACTGGGGATCCAATCGAGAACGCATCGATTGATTGTATCGAGAAAATCGTTTCAATGTAGGCTGATTAGTTACTGTTTCATCCGTCAAACCCGCTATCTACAAAGTAAGCATGACAAGTTTTATCACGTATGGTTTTCACAATTTTTCGTTAATAATTACCATGTAACCACCATGCGTTAAATCTCTTTATATCAAACAGATATTACAGAAAAGTGATATCTTCAATGTCGTTTAATGATATGTTTGCTTTTTGCTTACTTAGAGATAATATTCAAAAATAAATTTTTCAGAGTGATAATAAGATTTTTGTGACACTGCAAAAACGTTGCAAAAAAAAAAGTTATTTGATTTTTACTATTAGACTTATTGTATCGAATTTATAATATGAAAATTTTTGAAAATATATTAAGTTATATGAATGACAATGAAAAGAAAGCAATTAAATCAGAACTCTCGGAAAAGCTGTTCGAATTTTTTTAACAATTTATTTTTTATTTTGATCACTGTACAATAGCAAATTCAATTGCTTTCTCCATCTAATCATAACAATATTATATTTAAAAAACTGAAAATGATAATTTTTCGAATGAATTTTTCATAATTTTATAAAATTAAAAAAATCTTCAATATTTGTATATTTTGAATTGTAGCATAATCAGAATCAAATGAATTTTTCGTATACAGATTCATCAAAATATGGTGGAAATGCAAATTTTTACAACTTTGTTATTTGTGAAGTCAATATTTAGAATTCTATTAGAAATGCTTAAAATTATGACTTTAACGTTAGTTTTGCATCACCGAAAAATTGAATTTACTCATTTTTAACAAAACTTTTAACTTCATTTTCTACTATTTATGGAAAAATCTGAGACTTTTGGTTAGTGGCAGAATGCTATCAACATTGAGTTATATTTGTTACTGGCATAAAAACCAAATTTACTTTTCGCAATTTTATAAAGTTTATTTAATTTCGCACATGCTTTTTTTTATTAATTTTATTGTATAAAATAGCAATTATTTTTACTTTTGAATAATTACAACTATACTTGAGGTTATTACTAAATGCTTTTAATATAAACTTCAACCTTTTATCATCAAAATTCGCAATACAAAAACTACGTGAAAAAACAGAATCGGTACGTGAATTACCTATGACTGAGCAACAAATTTTATCAATGTTATCTGAAGTATTTATTTATACCATCTGAATTAACTTATCTTCACAGATATTATTGCGCATCTGTAATTTTTGAACTTTTTTACAAATTCTGTTATTGCTAATTTTTGTTTTTCATTTAGAAAAATATTTTTAAAGCAGCAATGAAAGCTAGCTATAGCACATAATGGCACGTTCTGATGGGCATCTGAATCAACAGTTAGTTATTCAAAAACATATTTTTCTCTTTTACGAGTTTTTTTTCAGCACTTAATATGTTTATACATTTTTTACAGTTTGTTTATTGTTAATTTCGATGAAGAAAAGTTGGAATTTGCATGAAAAGCATCTCACAATGACCTAAATCCAACTTGTAATTAATAGAAAATGCAAAAATTGTTATTTATTATATTTAATAAATTTAATTAAAAAGAATATAAATGTTATTCATTTACATAATTAATAACTTTGCAATGTGATCAAAAAACAACACATTTTAGCTTAATTTGAAATAAAATTGTTCGTTGAACATTACAAAATCTTTTTAAAAATTTATACCAATTTTAATTTTTAGTTTTGCTCTTTTCTTTATTAGTCTTATGCTCTCTGTTTTCTGTTAAAATTTTTATTACTGTAAGATGAATGCTGACAACAATAAATGAAAATGCAAAACTTTAGAAAATAATTTACTGATAAATTATCATTTTATTAAAGAAATTTCGAGTCTTAAAATAATTTTACAAGCAATTTTATATTTTAAATTAAAAGGATGATTAAATTTTTACGTCAAGAACAAGTTAATTAAATTTATTTTGGATTGCTTTAAATGAATAAATATTTTAAACTATAAAGTCGCTTAAATAATAAAAACTAACTTTTGAGTCAATTAATTGACTAATTTAATTTTATTCCAAATTAGACAAAATTATTTTGCTGACTTATTTTCCCTTACAATTGCTAATTTTTAGATGAAAAAATTTTCTCGACTTCTATTTCTTTCGCAAAGCCTTGCAAAAAAATTCTTAATGAACAAAAAGTGTACTTCAGATGGGATAAAGTGGAATTATGTCACTACTCGACAAATCCTTCCTTCACTGAGATAATGCATTGAGATTATAAAGAGAGTCGAGAATACCTCAATTCCTTATTCTTATTTGCTATTATTTTGCAAAATATGCAAATAAAGCACAGACAAAAATTTTTCTCATACAATAATAGATTATTAATTAATATTTATGCTTGGAATTATGATAATTATTAGCACATTTCTGCTAATAAATAATTATAAGTGTATTGACATTAAGCAGTTTGAGCATTAGACTACTTAGAAGGATTTTCTTTAAAGATTTTACTTATAGAATGAGCAAAGAAAGGCTTAAACGAGTACGAAAAAAAGATTTAAGTAAATACTTTAGAAATTTTTTGAATTTGACATTTACAAAAAATGCCATAAAAAGTTAACTTTCGGAATAGAAATAAAAATTTATCGAGCAGTTAAAATGATGAAAAATAGTTCTGTGAATCACTGCGACCTCAGACTCATTTATTAAAACACAAATGCCGAAGTTAGAATTTAGTGAATCATAATAATAATGTATAAAAAATGAATGCAAAGTTATGATATCAATGCGTGCATTATACATTATACTTTTAAAAAGAACACATTAAGGAGTTTTGATTTGTCTTCAAAACCGGCTGGAAATACGCATACTGCAATTCATTCAAACAGATTTTGCAAAAATTATTCAACTTATAGCTTATAATAATATTTAGTATTATTTCCTGAAGACTAGTCAGTTTACATCTACCAAATATAGTTTTACCCAAGTTTACTGATTTATAAATCTTACTGAGAGTAAGATACTTCAGTCCTTTTTTGTATATCAACTTGTTCTATCAATGAAATACACAAATTGTTGAGTGGATGAAATTCTGAATTAATATTAAATTCAGTCATTTTATGATAATTGTTTTTTTTAACTTAATTTGACTTATAATGTGCTTTTATGAGCTTAAAGCAGTAAGAAAAAAAATTGGAATGGAAGTGAAACCTCAGAGAACTGCTTAGATCGAACCATAATTTCGTACTGTGAAGTGAAATTTCCGTGATGTAACGGTAGATCGTCTGCTTCAAAGATCCTCAGCACCGGAGAAGCAAGTCTATTTTTGTTACTTCGAATGCTCAACTCTGAATCACTCAATGGCTGAAATTTAGCAAATTTATTGTGTTTTATCAGAGTGTTTTATCAGCTATAAATAAAATCAAAATACGATCAATGATTTGATTATAGCCAACACTTAATGATACTTTACGTAAACATATAGCATATTTAATAAAGCATTTCGAAAATGTAAAGAATTAATGATTCAACAAATACTAACTTTAATATTCTTCACCGTAAATTTTGTCATTTCACTCAGTCAAGCACTGAATTGAAACTTAATATGCTGTGTGATTTTGTTGGAAAATTTCTTACAAAATAATTAATGCCATTTAAAAAATAAAAATTAATTCAAGAAATCAAATCAGTAAAGTGAAGTTTTAGTTGGAAACGATTACTAAGTAAGTGTTTGACAAAAACTTTCTGAATTTACTGTTTTCCGTTTTTTTTTCTTTTTTTCAGAAAGTTTTGGGTGACACATTAAAAAGAAAGGAAGAAGGATGCAAGTTTACGGAGCAACAAAAAAATTATGTAAATTTTCCAAAGCAAAATTTGAATTTAGAAAAAGGAATGATCTCACGATATGCCAAAGTAGTCAGAAAATAAATGATCTGTACAAGTACACACACAGGCATATAAAATATTACAGGTCAAGGGTCATTGTAAACAATAGAATTTAGGATTTTCAAGAGAAATACCGTCACCAATATATAAAAATTCTGATGAACACAATTTTAGAAGATAATCTTATTAAACGATTTAAAATGAATTGAGAGTTGAGCATTAGTAATTGAAAATGAAGTGTTTTAAAAATTAAAAATATGTCATAATTGATTAAGTTGGAATTTTGAAAAATCAAATGTTCAAATTTCCATTTTTTGTAAAGAACGAAGTTTGTTAATTTTTAAACATTTCTGTAGC